CCCCAAAACCCCAAAACCCCAAAACCCCAAAACCCCATTTTTATTTAAAATTTTGAAAATTATTTCATAAATTTAAATGGAATTTCTGGGAGATCCTTCAATGAGTGGTGAGTCTGGGCTGAGGGTGTAGAGATTTCTTTGGGTTATATTGCTGTTTTGAGTAATTCTGTTGGTTTGGATCTGAAGAATTTATGAGAGTGTGATTAGAGTTTTCGGTTGTGTGAGGGAGGGTTTGTAGAGGAATCCTGGTGTCTCTGTGGTGATAATTTCATGATTTAGATGATGATATGAATAAAGATCACTTGTTAATTAAATGCAGGGAAGTTATAGAGTCTTTGAACTCAGAGATTGAGGAAGAACGAATTGCTTTCAAAATTGTCAAAGAAGAAAGTAAGCAAACAGATCTGACCGCTCTAGATGAAAGACTCAAAAGTGTAGATAGTGAATTATACAAGTATAAGACGGAGTACGAAGATGTAGTAAAGAGATTAGAAGAACTTGAAGAGTATTGTGAAGAGAATAAGGCTCAAACTCAAGCCTTCTTCGAGAAGGTCAACCTAGATTTCACTAGAAAATTAGACCCCTACCTTTGCACATGTCACGAACTCAAGGCCGAAGGTCTCTCTCCTGAATATAAATGAGTATATTGCCTTGCTAACAAGCAAATCAAGGGTAAGGTTTTGCCAAAAATACAAATTATAGTTGTTAAGAATGAACTAAACCAAAAATTTAAACTTGAAACTGAGAAAATGCAAGGTAAATTTATTCTAAAATCCTAGACTCGTTCCAAGCTCACCTGAAAGAGAAGGACACTAAAATAGAGGATCAATCTCTGCAGATAAAGTCCCTTTCCAAGGATTTTTCCAAACTCAAGAAGGAATCAGAGGAAGACAAGAGTAATAATGAAAATCTCAGCTTGAAAGTTGCTGAGCTAGAATCAGAACTTGAGAAATCTAAAATGAAAAATAATGAACTTGAAGATAAGATCAAGCATTTCTCTGTTGAGGTAACCCCTTAGTCTTATTAAACAGGTTGCAATGGATCATTCCTCTAAGGTTCAAGAGCTCGAAAGCCAGATAGAGAAAGAGAAAATGACCTATCATGAGACTAAGATTGAAATAGCAGAGCTTGAAGAGAAGATTCAAGGCCTCAAGCATGAAAACCTCCTGTTGACCTCTAAAGTTGAGGAGATGAACTTCAATGATATCGAGCTAAATGAGAAAATAAAGAAGCTTCAGCAAGATTATGAGAATCAAATGGATGATCTCTCCGCTTCCAAACAAGAGTTGAGGAATAAATGGAAGGAGAAATATAAACATGTTGGAAAAGAACTAGACATCTCAAACCAAAAGATCCATGAATTACAAGAGCAGGTTGAGGAACAAGAAAGGATTATCACTGAAAAGCAGAAAGAAGTTGACACCATCCAGTGTAAGTAGTACTTATCTAACCTAATAGATATGGAGGCTGACCTGAGTAACTCCCATGAACAGATTGAAGCTCTCAAGCATAATATTTCTGAACTAGAAAAGCAGCTAAAGGATAAATCAAAGTTGGTGCATCATCAGAAGAGCATGATCAACAAGCTTGCTTCTGAAAAAGATGACTTTGCTCTCGAACTAGAGAAGCAACAAAAGCTATTTGAGGTCTCAATCAATGAGAAAAATAGCAAAATCGAACACCTGAAGGTCATGATCGAGAAGTACAAGAAAGTTGTTGACAAAGCAGATGAGAAGCTCAAGCAGCTGCCTCAAGAGTTCGCCCTAGAGATGATGACAGTCAAGAAGAAGCTTAAGAGAGATAAAGAAGGTATTTTTGCATATAACCCGATTTTAGCCCAAGAGGAGATCAGAAAGCTCAAAAGAGAATTGTTAGAGAAGGAGCTTGAGTGGAAGAGACAGATCTCTAACTTCAAGAGCCAGGAGGTCAAGGCTCCACTGACTGAATGGGACATGAACAGCTTCAATTCTAACGCCCAAGATATTATATTTAGGAAGATGAATTTGAAGAAATAAAGGACTGAGTAAATGCTAAGTTTTCAAGTAGGAAATCTTGAAAAGGGGTTTTGGGGTTTTGGGGTTTTGGGGTTTTGGGG